AAAAACTCATACGGAGGCATTTATTACCCCGATATTACATTTTAGGTCGTAACTGAATTTATGGAGTTGTTGCCCTGCGTCATATTTGTTAATAGTCAACTATATGAAATATAAAATGACGTACAGGTCTGGGGGCGGGGCCAGTGCGTTAAAATAATTAAAATAATTTAATCGCTACATAAAATCATTAAATTTGAGCAGACACCAAAATGGCAATAAAAAGTAGGAACAACAGATTCAACAGAACAGCATCACAGTGTTCTGTTGAACTTTTAGTGATGGTATAAAGAGATCAGACAGAAATACACACTGTGGTAAGATTCAATTATGGGACAATCGAAACTCATTTTAAAAAGGAAATCCAAAGTAAGGAATGATTCTTTCATCAGCAGGGTTAATTTTATACTGTGATGGCACCCACAGGCATCTGTTTTGTTGGAAACACCCTCCATAGCAGAAATTGAATGACTAGCTCAACTAGCAGGTTCCTGTTTTTTTTTCTTCTTCTCTCTAGTTGCTTGAAATACCATTTCACATTCAGTGAACACAACAGTGAAAGTACCTAACAACGCCCCTTAGCCGTTATAAATTCACTGTAAACCACAGCTTCACGGGGCTTATTGCTCGCGTCGTACCTAACAACGCCCCTTAGCCGTTATAAATTCACTGTAAACCACGGCTTCACGGGGCTTATTGCTTTTATAAAACGGTTATTTCATATACGTTGAAAGGTTTCACAAAATAAAACAGAGCAAATAAAGTGTAATGATATAAATAAAAACAGTATTCTTCCGCCAAACAATGTAGTTCCTCAGAAACAGTTGTGGTTGCCAAGCAACACACAAAGTAAACAAAGGTGTATGTTTGTAGTGTGATTTACAACAGCTCTGAACGCGGCTCAACCAATCAGAATCAAGGACCGGAACTATCCGTTGTATAAATGCAAAACCATTCTCCGCCAGCAGGTGGCGCCATAGATATGTAGAGACGGCTCCAGGCACGTAGATGCGGCCGCCATCTTGGAACGGTCAACTTGGTGAATGACGCCAATTTGACCGTTACAGTATGGCGGACGGATTAGTATCGGCCCATAGAAACAGTCGCTAATGAGGCATCTACTTGTGTGTGTGTGTATATATATATATGGGTGGCGCTTTCGGAACGGCAGAAATATAGGCCTAGCGGTTTCCCTGGAAACCCGTATACAAAGCAGCGCTGGGTTTACGAAGTGTGCTTTAGTAGGCATATTAAACAGAGGTAAGATAAAAAGAAAGCGCCATGTAAACCTCTGTTCCCTTCAGAGACACATTCATTGTAGAGACACTGAAGACTGGAGTAATGATGCTGAAAATTCAGCTTTGCATCACAAGAATAAATGACATTTGAGCATATATTCAAATAGAAAACTGTTTGAAATTATAATAATATTTCATAATATTGCTGTTTTTACTGTATAAATAAATGCAGCCTGGGAAATCAAAACATCTTAATGTCCATGGCGCTTGACATTTGTATTAATTTACATAACTTTTCCAAGTCTAGAACTCTTAACTTCTCAAATCTGGCCTCCTCAAATATCCAGATCGCAGGAATCAAGGTTCTTCAAAGAGGAAAAAAATGTTGCTGAGGCTGAGAGAGATTAAAATAGGAAATATATATATATATTTTTTTTTAGCAGATTTTAAAACTGGTTTTGTCTCACTTTAAGCCCCCTTGGAACTTGTCTGAGGCCTCCTGCTTGAGAACCACTGCCCATATACTGCTTGATTTCAGATTATACAATCAATACGATTACAAAATCAGTTTTCCTGTGAGAAAAGTCTCTCTTAAAACATACAATTGACTCAACGAGACTCACAGTCACTATTCTTTGCTTGTATTTAGACCAGACTTGCTGGCAGTCAGAATGAGCGCTTCAGAGGAAATCATGGGGATTCTCCAGAACGTCTGGACCAAACTGCAGGCTCTTCCTCAAGCCCACCCGCTCACGCAGACGGCGTTTCTCATCATCCTGCTGTTCTTCTGTAAGCTCCCTTTCACTACGCTATCATTACATCTCTGCGCTGTGGCTACATCTGGTGTAATTTTGGAAGAGGTTTTATTTGAACACAAGGCGGAGATCTTATGAGAGCTTCTACTGCGATTAGAGGCTTCCACCAAGCGCGCATCCGTACTTAGCTTGCTATTTTAGTGAGGGTACGGCACTTGAACTGACATTAAAAACTCTTAACAAGCAGTTGACTGTAAATGTGGGAGGACATATGTTAAAGTTTCAGGTTTCTAATGTCAAAAATCCAAGGATTTGAGTCGTTCCGCAGATCGGACTCAATGCGCTTTCTGGACTGGAAGGGCTGTCTTGACTTCTAAACGTTAAGAATTTTCATTGTCGGTCTCTTTTACTTTACAATGATCTCAAAAGATCAAGAAAAATCGGATTCCTCATGATACGACTCCTTTAACAACAACAGCCTTCATTAGACATCACTAGATTTCATTAAATCCACTAATCAGAGCTCTTCCTGAAGAGACACCAGTCAAATGTTAAAGGGATAGTTCGCCCAAAAATGAAAATTCTGTCATTAATTACTCACCCTCAGGTTGTTCCAAACCCGCAAGACCTTCGTTCATCTTCAGAACACAAATGAAGATATTTTGATGCATTCCAAGAGCTCTCAGACCCTCCCATAGACAGCAATGCAACTGACACGATCAAGGCTCAGAAACATATCAAGGACATTGTTAAAATAGCCCATGTGACATCAGTGGTTGAACCGTAATGTTATAAAGCTACGAGAATATTTTTGTGCACAAAGAAAACAAAAAGAACAACTTTATTCAACAATTTGTCTCCTCCGCGTCACCCTATAGTGCCATTTTGGAGAGTATCACATACGTAAACAACGTATGCTGTTCTGTGTAAGCTGCACCCCACGGATACGTTGTTTACGCTTTGATCTGAACTTAAACAACGTATTCGCGTACATACGTTGCATTAGGGCTGCACAATTAATCGAATTTCTAATCGCAATTACAATTATGGATGCCACAATTACGTAATCATTCAAAGCGGCAATTAATCGTTCATTAATTAATGTTATTGTGCACGCTTAAGATGTGTTTTCTTATTTTTACATGTTATATCTTAAGGGTTTTTCCATTGTTTTAGTTTTAGTATAACATTATAATACCATTCGTATTTGTACTTTTTTTTATAATTTAAAGAAGAAACCAATCCGATGTATATTTGTCATTTGAGGCTTAATACTATAGAAAAGCACTAAAGTTTTTTTTCAGTTAGCGTGTTTTCAGCTTGTTTATTTTCATATAAAAATACGGCATGCAGTTGCATCAAACAATTGTATAAACATCATTCCAATGTAAATTTTGATAATCGTAATTAATAATCGCATTTACAATTTCAAGGGAATAATCGACAATTATGATTTTTGTCCCTATGTTGCTTACGTATGTGATACGCTCCAAAATGGCGCTATAGGGTGACGCGGAAAGATGAATTTTTGAATAAAGTCGTTATTTTTGTTTTCTTTACGCACAAAAATGATTCTCGTAGCTTCGTCAAATTACAGTTGAACCACTGATGTCGCATGGATTATTTTAACGATCTCCTTGCTACGTTTCTGGGCCTTGAACGTGGTAGTTGCATTGCTGTCTATGGAGGGTCAGAAAGCTCTCGGATTTCATCAAAAATATCTTAATTTGTGTTCCGAAGATGAACGAATGTCTTACAGGTTTGGAACGACATGAGGGTGAGTAATTAATGACAGAATTTTCATTTTTTGGTGAACTATCCCTTTAAGTTAGTTTAGTCAGTTGTACTGAAACATGTGACTAACTCCCATGTTTTCATTCTTCCTGCAGTGACATTCATCGCTCTGATCGTGACTGGATGCATTTATGGCCGCTGTGGCTGCTGTACGACAGGGACCAAAAACAGAGTCTCGGCCGTCTGAAACATGGGTTCCACAATAAAGAGGAAGATAGGAGCAGACCACAATGGGCTAAAATAAAATTTGACTGGTGACTGATGGTTTGGATTGTGACTGCTGTGATATCAAACATTACAGTGATCAAATTCAGCCAGTGAACATGGCACACACTTTAAGCTGAATGAAAACAACACTCATCAGCGACAGTCGTGAAGCAAATCAGAAGAGCTTTAAACGCAGAAACAAGTGTTTGGCTGAGAAAAACGCTCCCCTTAATCTGAATGCTACAAATAAACACCAAATTCCCAACCTCTCTCATTATGGGAATGCACCCACTATGAAACCAGTGCCAAATACTGTCCTCTGGTGTTTGCTTACACAACTGCAGAGATGTAGAAACGAGAGGGGGACAGTTTTGTGTTGATCAAATGCTGTTCATCAAAGAATCCTGGGGGGGAAAAAAATGTATCACGGTGTCCACAGAAATATTAAGCAGCACAACTGTTTTCAACATTTATAATAATAATAAATGTTTCTTCAGCATATTAGAAAGATTTCTGAAGGATCATGTGACACTGAAGACTGGAGTAATGATGCTTACAAATTCAGCTTTGATCACAGGAATAAATTACATTTTAAAATATATTACAGTAGAAAACAATTATTCTAAATTGTAATAATATTTGACAATATTACCATTTTTACTGTATTTTTAATTAAATAAAGGCAACCTTGGTAAGCATGAGACTTCTCTCATACACATTAAAAAAATCTTACCGACCATAAACTTTTGATCAATAGAGTAATATTCAAGAATAAAATGTAATATTGTTTACTTAATGGAGCTGAATCTTGGTGAAATAAAACCGAAATCATCAAATATACAAAAAAACCTGTGTATTTTTATATTGTTTAAAATTACATGTATTTAATGGATATAAAGTGAGCTAAGTATTCATGCATGTTTGTTTTTGAACCACACTATTCTGTTTTATTAAACATTTATTAATCCACCCTTAATCCAGAATTTAAAGCGTCTGTGTTTGAGCTCACCCTTCTTGTTCACAAAAAGCAACCATTGCCTCAAAGTCCAGGATGGGAGATTTATCCTTCTCGTTCTCTGATCCTCGCTTCTCCTGAATTCAAAACACACAGTATATCAGACACGGTGACAGTTTAAACTAGTCAAAAGCACGAAGATATCAAGACTGGATGTTATTCTCAACCTGTTTACGGGCGATTTCTTTGCGGATGAGGAAGTTGAGCTGGTCTCTGTCTTTGGGTGAGTAGTATATCCTGCAGGACGACGGCAGTCCGTCACGTCCAGCTCGTCCCGACTCCTGATAGTAACTGGCCAAAGACTTCGCCAGATTCCAGTGAACGACAAACCTGAAAACAGATAGACACTTACATGCAATGGCAAACACAGCACTGATCTGTCTACAGATCTACTTAAAGACTCAAGAAATAGCGTTTAGGCACTAGGGATGAAACGATTAGTAGACATTGACAATAAAAAATTGTAGACAAATATTTTTGTTGTCGAGTAGTTTGATCTCATATGGCCTAATGTAAGAGCCTGCAATAATGCAGTTTTGACCAGTGAGACGCTGTAGCGCAAGACTGTAATTCAGCCCTCCTGGATGCAATTCAAGAGAAGAAGACGCAGCGCTTTTTGGAATCGATTCCGATTCCTGGTTCTGGAATCGATTCCAAGAATCGATTCATCACTGTTGTTTTCGATTCGTGTTGTTTTAGATTGGAGGAACATAATTATGGCATGACTGCATGATAAAAGGTCGTAGAAAGTAGCCTTCTAATATGAAGCTGTATTTGTAAAAAAATACGATACGTAGTAGCTCTGATTGATTTTAAATTGTAATTTTGTCTGCATTGACTATGAAATTAGTCATGGCCCACAGCTCAGCAGTGGACATGCGTTTATTGCATGAATGGAACAAGACTTGAAGTGTCTAAAATACATGTGCACAGTTCAGCTGAATGATGTTTACTTTAACCGTATGCTTTGCACAAAATTAACAAACTGTACCCTGAAACAAAATAACCAGAACATTAACAACAACACTGGTATAAGAGCTTGTGGTTTATCTGTCAGTCAGATGGTGTCACTGATCTGTGCTCTCGGCCTTTTCTTTCAGAATTATCACTGGCTGATAGAAAGGTTAACATTTTTTTAAGATGGAAATAAGTTCAAGACCCTCGATCACGCATATTCTGTCGTGCAGTGCACAAAATTGTGGACAACATAAGCCAGTTCCACCATAAAATAACCTCTGAATAGTTTTTTTTTCATTCATGGTTCATTAAACCGATCTATTCGAAAGAACCTTTTCATGGAAACGAATCAGACTTCTAATCAGCGAGCAAGAGGCGAATTAATGGGTGCTTCTCGACACCGACACTCGATTCCCAATGCCTCGGAATCGATTCTTTTTGGAATCGATTCCCAGCCCTTTTGGATGAATATGTAAATATATGCCGCGTGCTTTCCTCTCAGTAACTAAATAAACACAACAAAAATGACAGCGGTGCGAAAGCAGCAGTTAAGAATGCATCTGATTAGAGATGTGGATGTTTGCGCAAGCTCTGCAGTTTCGGTACTCCAGTAAAGTCCAGTCACATCACGTTTATTTATATAGTACATTATGCAATAGATAGCCTTAAATTAAGCAGCTTTACAGTAGTAAACGTGAAAAATATTTCTGTTTTTGAACTGTAGTGTATACTTGCAATGCGTGACTGACCTGACATTGGCCTTGTCCACTCCCATACCAAAACTGATGGTGGCCACAATAACAGGCACTTTATCGGCCATCCAATCAGTCTGACTCTCATTGCGATCGCCCACCTTCAGCCCTGCAGAGAGATGAAACATTAACCAGAACGACTTGCAACCAGAACGTCCCTTGCAAACTTGCACAACAACATCACACACAAACATCCAAAAAGTGTGAAGAGGAAGCAGTGACGGGATCACCTGCATGGTAGGGCTTGGCTGGGATTCCTAGTTTAGTCAGTTTATGTGCCACTTCCTCACAACTCTCTCTGGTGCGACAGTAAACAATCCCACAGCCCTGCCGACCAAACATGGCTGTTTAACATGATTTAATCAGACTCGGCCTCAAATAATTTATTCGCCCTATTTATTCCTCTCATGGAACACAAAAGAAGATGTTTATCAAGCTGTCCGAGCTGCTCTTTTCCATACAATGAAAGTCCAGAAATGACATTAAAGTCACCCATATCTCCCGAATTCATACTGACTAAAATGTATTTGTTCACTGAAGATCTTTCCTGTCAATTTAGTGCTCAAATCTCAAATTGAAGTGTTCACATACATTCACATATTGCATGTCAAGATGTGTATTTAAGCTATGAAATCAATTCAAATGGTTCTTGTGTGATTTGCCAATGATGCCACATGTTGACACCACATTTGAATGTGTGGGTCATTGACAAATAAAACTGCCCATGCAAAACAAAAGGAAAAAATCATGTTCAAAGAATTATATGGTGCCATTTTGGTATTTTTATGTACTGTTATATAACTGATTCATATTTTGAACAAGCTTTCCTTTATATTTTCAGTTTTCTTTTGAATTGTAGTTTAAGTTTGACCGGTTTTGCCATTTTTATTAGTTTTATTTAACATTTCTATTAGCTTTGATGTATTTTAATTCAGTTTGAGTCATTTTAGTACTTTAAATTCATCTTATTCTAGCTAGCCAATTTGCCAATGATACATTTTTACTTTTCATCTAATGTTTTCATTTTATTTCTGCTTTATTTCAATTACAGAAAACAATTTGAATGGTTTCAACAGCACTGAAATGTACTCTTTTGAAAAACCTTTATACTATTTTCAAGAAAATTTTCAATTTAATGACAACTTATTTTTTAATGAAAAAATAATACATTTTCCATGCACCTTGAAAACAGGTGAGGGATTTCTTGAAATATTCTGGATACAAGTAGCAAATTTGTGACTGAATGCCTGAACCCCTGCCAAATAGCATAATTAATTATACTTCAGAAATGAATAATATACTCGCAACAGAATAGGTATATCTAAATAATTGAATGTTTGAACTGCACATTAAAAATATTTATTATGTAAAATATGTAATGTCACAGACACATATGCAAACATAAAATTGATTTCCAGCATTTTTCCACTTTCATTGTATGCTAAACATTTCAATGCTATACTTTTGTTTCCAGCAGATGGGAGAAATTCCTACAGGTTCAAGAACAACATGAGGAACATGAGTAAATAGTGAAAGAACTTGCTTAACCAAAGAAAGCCAGTGACTGACCTTTTCCGCTGTATTTCCACCCAGAGCCTCTTTGGCAAACGCAAGCAAGTGCACATAAGGATCAGGCAACAGATCCCGGAATATCACGTCATATTTCAAGTTTTTACGGAAAACAGGTATGGCAAAGACAAGTGGCGAGCGCAGCTTCAGCGAGCGCTCGATGTCTTCTTGCACTCTCTTGGGTGCTGTGGCCGTCAGCGCTACACAGGGAACCCCCTGCAGACGGGAGCGCAGGTTCCCGAGCTTCAGATAGTCCGGCCTGAAGTCATGACCCCACTGAGAGACACAGTGAGCCTCATCCACAGCCAGATACGCCAGCAGACCCCGCGCACACAGCGAGCTCAAGCAGGGCTGGAAGGACGGGGACGCCACCATCTCTGGCGTGATGTAGAGCAGCTTGAGCCGAGGACTCTCGCTCTCCAGGTCCGCCAGGATCTGACGCCGCTCAGCCGAGGGAAGTTTGGAGTTGATGGAGCGTGCAGGAACATTCAGAGCTTTCAGGTGCTCCACTTGATCCTGCAGAAGTAAAAACAAAGAGTGTGTCATCGTGAACAACACAGCAGTCAAAAGAATCTTTATTACTCGTCACAGGAAAACTGGTTATCATGTAAATCTGTGTTGGTACTTGCTTTAAATAATGCCCATGTGGTTCTTATTTTCCATTGTTTTTCTTCATGCATTACATAGCATAAGCGGTTGCTTATCCTCATTCTTCATTCTGCTCTTAACACCATGATTATAATGTGATTATAATACTTATATATATATATATATATATATATACTTTTTTTTTGGGTTGCACAATAATTGAAACTGCCATATAAGACATTTCTGTATTTATGCTGTATGACAAAGCTGCCTGTTTTCAAACTGTTGTTATTAACAGAAATTGGAAGCACTGATAGATGAAATTAATTAGACCTTACTTAGATGCATTTTGTGATTTCATAAGTGTCAAGAACTTTATATTCTTTAATGAAACTATAGTTATGATCTTTACGTCTTGATTTTATGTGTTACTTAGCTTTTTAATTTAGATTAGAGTTAGATGATTTTAGTGATCCAACATTTTACATATTTTTAAGGCATCCAACGGCTCCCTGGTTGATGTGCTAGCAATCTCATTTAGCAGTTAATAATACGCGTGTCATTATTCACTTCTAATGTTCTCCTATAGACTACTAGTTGAATTATTGTGCTTTGTTGTCATTTGGAAGCTCAATAGCCAGGATCCTCTTGCTCTGTCTTTATACTGAAAAGAGTGGGACAGTCATAAAGGTTTGGAATCACGTGAAGAGAAAGTGATTTCGGAATTTTCATTATTTGGATAATTATTCCTTTAATCAGCCAAACTGATGGTTATTAGCTAATGCCAATTATCTCTATACAGTTAAATATAACTAACTATAACTCTAACACTTGCACTCTCTATTCTATTTCTATCCTAACTGCTTGTTTTCTTTTTATTTATTATAAAAAAGACCCTCTAACACTAGCGTTCCCTATTCTTTTTTTTCCAATTCTATCTAATTGTTTTATTTTTTAAACATACTGCGATAGGTTAACCGTGACACTTACATATTATTTGCTCTTTTGTTGATTTTGATTGCTCATTTTTAAGTCTTTTTGGCTAAAAGCATCTGCTAACTGAATGAATGTAATGTAATGTAAATACTGTTTTATTAATATGTTTGGCCAATAAATCTATGTATCTTTGGTGAAACCATGATTAGATACCAACCAGTGACCTGCCTACAGCTTATCCATGATAGGAAGATGTCTGTATGGGATTCACCTGGATGAGCGCGATCAGAGGCGAGATGACCAGAGTGATGCCACTGGCCAGAAGAGCAGGCAGCTGATAGCACAGAGACTTCCCTGCTCCAGTGGGCATGAGGACAAACACATCCCTGTCACCTGTGAGCACACACACACACACACACACATACACACACACAGAACACACATATACACATACACACAGAACACACACATAACACACACATACACAGAACACACACACACACAGAGAACACACACGTACACAGAACACACACACACACAGAACACACACATACACACAGAACACACACACACACACACACACACACACAGAACACACACATACACAGAACACACACACACACAGAGAACACTCACGTACACAGAACACACACACACACAGAGAACACTCACGTACACAGAACACACACACACACAGAGAACACTCACGTACACAGAACACACACACACACAGAGAACACTCACGTACACAGAACACACACACACACAGAGAACACTCACGTACACAGAACACACACACACACAGAGAACACTCACGTACACAGAACACACACACACACAGAGAACACTCACGTACACAGAACACACACACACACAGAGAACACTCACGTACACAGAACACACACACACACAGAGAACACTCACGTACACAGAACACACACACACACAGAGAACACTCACGTACACAGAACACACACACACACAGAGAACACTCACGTACACAGAACACACACACACACAGAGAACACTCACGTACACAGAACACACACACACACAGAGAACACTCACGTACACAGAACACACACACACACAGAGAACACTCACGTACACAGAACACACACACACACAGAGAACACTCACGTACACAGAACACACACACACACAGAGAACACTCACGTACACAGAACACACACACACACAGAGAACACTCACGTACACAGAACACACACACACACAGAGAACACTCACGTACACAGAACACACACACACACAGAGAACACTCACGTACACAGAACACACACACACACAGAGAACACTCACGTACACAGAACACACACACACACAGAGAACACTCACGTACACAGAACACACACACACACAGAGAACACTCACGTACACAGAACACACACACACACAGAGAACACTCACGTACACAGAACACACACACACACAGAGAACACTCACGTACACAGAACACACACACACACAGAGAACACTCACGTACACAGAACACACACACACACAGAGAACACTCACGTACACAGAACACACACACACACAGAGAACACTCACGTACACAGAACACACACACACACAGAGAACACTCACGTACACAGAACACACACACACACAGAGAACACTCACGTACACAGAACACACACACACACAGAGAACACTCACGTACACAGAACACACACACACACAGAGAACACTCACGTACACAGAACACACACACACACAGAGAACACTCACGTACACAGAACACACACACACACAGAGAACACTCACGTACACAGAACACACACACACACAGAGAACACTCACGTACACAGAACACACACACACACAGAGAACACTCACGTACACAGAACACACACACACACAGAGAACACTCACGTACACAGAACACACACACACACAGAGAACACTCACGTACACAGAACACACACACACACAGAGAACACTCACGTACACAGAACACACACACACACAGAGAACACTCACGTACACAGAACACACACACACACAGAGAACACTCACGTACACAGAACACACACACACACAGAGAACACTCACGTACACAGAACACACACACACACAGAGAACACTCACGTACACAGAACACACACACACACAGAGAACACTCACGTACACAGAACACACACACACACAGAGAACACTCACGTACACAGAACACACACACACACAGAGAACACTCACGTACACAGAACACACACACACACAGAGAACACTCACGTACACAGAACACACACACACACAGAGAACACTCACGTACACAGAACACACACACACACAGAGAACACTCACGTACACAGAACACACACACACACAGAGAACACTCACGTACACAGAACACACACACACACAGAGAACACTCACGTACACAGAACACACACACACACAGAGAACACTCACGTACACAGAACACACACACACACAGAGAACACTCACGTACACAGAACACACACACACACAGAGAACACTCACGTACACAGAACACACACACACACAGAGAACACTCACGTACACAGAACACACACACACACAGAGAACACTCACGTACACAGAACACACACACACACAGAGAACACTCACGTACACAGAACACACACACACACAGAGAACACTCACGTACACAGAACACACACACACACAGAGAACACTCACGTACACAGAACACACACACACACAGAGAACACTCACGTACACAGAACACACACACACACAGAGAACACTCACGTACACAGAACACACACACACACAGAGAACACTCACGTACACAGAACACACACACACACAGAGAACACTCACGTACACAGAACACACACACACACAGAGAACACTCACGTACACAGAACACACACACACACAGAGAACACTCACGTACACAGAACACACACACACACAGAGAACACTCACGTACACAGAACACACACACACACAGAGAACACTCACGTACACAGAACACACACACACACAGAGAACACTCACGTACACAGAACACACACACACACAGAGAACACTCACGTACACAGAACACACACACACACAGAGAACACTCACGTACACAGAACACACACACACACAGAGAACACTCACGTACACAGAACACACACACACACAGAGAACACTCACGTACACAGAACACACACACACACAGAGAACACTCACGTACACAGAACACACACACACACAGAGAACACTCACGTACACAGAACACACACACACACAGAGAACACTCACGTACACAGAACACACACACACACAGAGAACACTCACGTACACAGAACACACACACACACAGAGAACACTCACGTACACAGAACACACACACACACAGAGAACACTCACGTACACAGAACACACACACACACAGAGAACACTCACGTACACAGAACACACACACACACAGAGAACACTCACGTACACAGAACACACACACACACAGAGAACACTCACGTACACAGAACACACACACACACAGAGAACACTCACGTACACAGAACACACACACACACAGAGAACACTCACGTACACAGAACACACACACACACAGAGAACACTCACGTACACAGAACACACACACACACAGAGAACACTCACGTACACAGAACACACACACACACAGAGAACACTCACGTACACAGAACACACACACACACAGAGAACACTCACGTACACAGAACACACACACACACAGAGAACACTCACGTACACAGAACACACACACACACAGAGAACACTCACGTACACAGAACACACACACACACAGAGAACACTCACGTACACAGAACACACACACACACAGAGAACACTCACGTACACAGAACACACACACACACAGAGAACACTCACGTACACAGAACACACACACACACAGAGAACACTCACGTACACAGAACACACACACACACAGAGAACACTCACGTACACAGAACACACACACACACAGAGAACACTCACGTACACAGAACACACACACACACAGAACACACACACACACACACACACACACACAGAACACACACATACACAGAACACACACACACACAGAGAGAGAACACACACACACAGAGAGAGAACACACAGAACACACACACACACACAGAACACACACACACACACACACACACACACAGAGAGAACACACACACAG